AAACTTGTCCCGAGTAAGGGGGTAAGTCTCTGAACAATTGTGGTTCTGCGTTGGTGGGAGGGTATAACAGGGTAATTTGGTATCATCAAATTAGTTGATAACGTAAATTGGACACCGCTTTGAGCGTTAGTCCTTCGTCAGAGCGACCGACAGATCTTACGCTCGAAACGTCTAACGGTGGCCAATTTACGTCAATTTACGTTAATAGCTCAGTTGATAATACCAAATTACCCTTTCATCACGAGTCAGTCAGTTGGTTTGGCAATGTCATAGCAAAAAAAGTTAAATATTAATAACAAACCAGACTACATTTTAAACTTCTGTCCAGAGTGTGCGAGTGTGATTGATACTCTTAAGATGTTCGTGGATCAATTTCGTTTAGTATGGGCCGTGCAGTAACAAAAATATCACCAGGTCATCTTTGGAAAAACTCCTCTGAATTGAAATTTACCTGGCTACGTCGACTATGAAAACAGTCGACGAAAACACCGACCAGTCAGTGATGTATGATCGTATGAGAATAATTATACCGGCTGGCACAAATCAACACAGTTAAAAATGAATTTTCTTAATTGCAAGTAGATTGTCAGGAGGAAAAGAAATTCATTCATAGATTTGTTAGATCCACTTTTAAGTTGACGAAAATTCAACTTTTTATTATATAATAAAAATACCATGGCACTGACTTACTGTTGGTCTTCAAACAGATCCAGGGCAACAGTAAATTTTCCTTTTCCATCTTCGTCAAACACCAGTTTCTTGGTATCAGCTTGGACTCCAACGGCAGTTGCAGCTTCAGTATTTTTATAGTAGCAACTGAAAGGAATCTCAATCTCGCGAACTCTCGTTATAATGGCATCATTTTTTACGGGAATCTCCAAGACAGTGTTGCTGTAGACCACGGCACCCTTACCGAATCTTGCGGTTGTTCCACAGCCGGTTAATGCAGTTTTAAGGGTGAAGTGGGTTTTAGTTTCTTTGGCAACACATTTGACGTCTCGGAGAGTGAAATGTTCACGGCTCAAACCGAGGAGGAGGGTCTTTGGTAATGTGATTGACATGTCATTTTGGTCGCACTTAACAGAAACGCCGGAAGCTGACAGAAACGAACAATAATTGAGTTAATTATAGAAACCGTCTTAGAAGGAAAATAATGCTTTTTCTACTAAAAGAAGCGAATTCCATCTTGCGTCAAATGTGGCAATTTCAAGCTCAAAATGATGTCATTTGGCTGCTTACCAACACAATTGCGACCATCTGGCGCCAGTGTCAGCTCGGGGTCTGGGCAGGAGCAGCTATAACTACCTTTGGTGTTTGTGCACTTGTGAGAACATCCGCCATTTTTCACATTGCACTCATTGACATCTGTAGAGTAGAACAACATGGCATAAATTGCGTTGGATTTCTTTAATTTCCTATAGATTTGTTATAAGCTGTTTCACCGAAATGCACTGGGAGTAACTAGTAGTTTGCTAAGTTATGATACAGTGATACAAGTAAAAGTTTAGCATGTCACGTTTTTCCAACTAAAAATTAAAAAATACAAAGTTCAACTTTGAAAACGATTAAAGCCGACAAATGAACACTTGAAATGTCAAAAACTCTGTAACGGATACACGGTACACGATACACAAGCATTTTCAGCAGATCTCTTATACTTTCTTGTTCGTTTCAGTGGTCAGTTTACAAATGCCGTGATAGCTTTAAATTTAAAAAATTGATACTGTCAGAGAGATATGGAAAAAGGAATTTGACTTC